ACACTGGATTTGACTTCATACTTTAAAGAATATATTCATTTACCAATGATTTTCTACATGTCATTTTTCATTGATTTAAAATTTTGAGACTTGCTTATATGAATTTAATGGCACTTTTCACTCATTAATGACTTATATCATTTACTCCATCTATGTTTAAAATAAGTTANAAAAAAAAAAAAAAAAGCAAAAGCAAAAACAAAACAGTTGATGTAGTGTTGTGTTTTATCTATATTGATATAAAATTCTATGTTTTATTTCTAAGTTTATAATTCACATGATATTGCATATAGTGCTGCGTTTTATCTATATAGATATAAAATTCTTTGGTTTATTTCTAAATTTATAATTCAAATGATATTGCATATTTCGGTGTTACACATGTTTTATTATGCGTTTTATTTAACTTAGTTATACAATTTTGATTTTGATAGTTTCCTTACATTTCACGTGATATTGTGATTTTCATGCGTTTCAGTAAACGAGTTGATATACTATTGAAAAAAATCTTGGAAAGTTTATTTTTGGGTAGTTTTAGACTTGTTGACTTTGAAATAAATGGTTTTGTCGCGGAATGTCATATAGGAAGATTGTCAAGTCTAAATTATAATTGACAATTTCTAAATTTGTAATTGACAGTTTCCTTAGTCAAATCAAGTCCTAGTTGAATTGTAATAGGGGTTTATCAAGTTGTAATCAAAGTCAAAATATGAGTTATTGAGTCCTAATTAAAGTCAAAAGAGTTGGGGTTGATAGTGTAGTCCTTGAAAGAGTCTAAAATGTCTAAGTAGATTACATATGATCAAGGGAATGCAATTAGAAGTCTCAAGAATTTCAAAAAGTCGTATAAGTTATGCTCTAAATTCTCAGTGACAATTTACCATGCATTTTTCACATAAAAAACATTGGAATTTGGATAAAGCTATAAGAATTGTAGCTGTTTGAGTTATCTTTTCAAAATATTTTGAATCACCTCAATCGGATATCGGGAGAGAAAACTATTATAAAAATACGGAAAACTGCTTAGCAGCTGCTCACCTGTCGCTGGATAGGCTCTTGAGCGACGGATCGACGTTCAGAAATCTGTTTTACTTCAAATACTTGGTTTTCATTCTCTTTTCATGCCAAACACTTTTCACTATATATATTCTACAATATTCAACCATCACATATTACTTGATCCATAAATTCATCCAAATTATATTTTGTTGATCAAGTCATATTGTTTCATATAAAATCACAGATCAAAACACACAAGATGTTTTGATCAAACGCCATTTAATCCATCGGAGATAAATCGATACTCGTAATCGGGCGCTATTGTAGAAGCACAAATTCAAGAGGAATAATGTGAGATACTAGGAGTCGGGATCCAAGTCAAGAGCACACAGTCCAGAACGGCTAAGGTATAAATCAGGAGTCGAAATTTTTTTTGAAGGAGCACACCTCCGGTATGATCAAGAGAAACTGCAGAAATTGAGGCCAGAAGTTCTACGGGATAGATGTGTTTGGGCCGTGTTGTAAGTTTGCTTTGATTTATAGTGGATTATTGACGGCAAAGTACCTGAAATTTTCCCCAGTTGGATTTCTCTGTGATCATCTTAGTGTTCTTTACTATTTTAACTACTGATTGTGGTATTAAAATTTAGGATAAATTGATTTGTTTGACTAACCATCTAAAAGCAATTAAAAAAAGTGACTTATTACTTTTAATTGTATAATTTCGTACGTCTATCTAAATAATTTAAAACTTTCATCATCCATCCTATGATTAGGTACAAATAAATGCTAAGAGACGTTGTTAATGAATATATAATCTTTGATTAAGACACGAGTGCTCCTTTGCTTTCAATATTATTATAAACCAAAGGGCCTCCAAAAATCTTCTACTAAAGTTAAAATGAAAAAGAAAAGCATGATCCCGAACTCCGACTTTTCGTGAACTTTAAGTCAAGGAAGGCTTCCTCTTGAAGACTCGAACAATCGGTGCGATATCATTTTAGAAGAGTTAAAATTCTAACGTCGTGTCAATGTTCATGGGTTAAAAAGTAAAGATAAATGTTGATTTTCTCTACATCGACCAGATTGGACAGATGTTTAATTCCTATTGTAATTGCACCATCATTGAAGGAACATATTCTTCTTGTATTTGAGTTGCTTTCATCAGGTTCACACTTCACGTTATCAAAATAATTTTAAAAAATTGGGATAAATCTCATTCAAGTTAGGTAAGAGATTTTAGCCTACCTACTTGAGCTCAAATGAAGGGTTTGGAAAATATTTAATTATTGAGTCCCGTTTGGGCCACCTTATTTTCTCATTAAAATGAAAAATATAACCGTTATCCATGACATCAACATTTAAATTCAAATTTTTGAACAATTTAATAGCATTTTTTGAAATTAGCCCCAGTTTGGGCCACCTTATTATCTCATTAAAATGAAAAATATGACCGTTATCCATCACATCAACATTTAAATTCAAATTTTCTATCTCTTGTATGGGCCCCAATAACGACTATATTTTTTTATTCTCATTCTACAAAAAGGTGCCTCAAACAAGGCCTGAAGTGTTCATGTTTAACTTGAAAAATTTAATATATAAATCCATTTTTTCCCTATATACATTCATTTAAAATCATACTATTTTGTTTTTAACCAATATAATTTTTATTTGAAGATGTATATATCTAATTGAAATATTTCCAACTCACAACTTGGCATTTTAATGAAAATGGTCGTTTACACAATTATTGATTCAATAAGTTGTGTGGATGAAGCTATGACCTTTTAAAAATTTATAAGCCATTAAAACACAGGGGGGAAGATCGGCCAAACAATGTAATTCCGATCAATATCTAGTTATCTACAATGTAAAGTCGGTCGAAGAAAAAGGCAAAGTGGGTACTCATTTTTTGAATTGCTTGTCATTGAGGTAAAAAACAAAGAAAAAAAGAAAAAAAAAATGTGACNCATGTACGGGTAGACTCAAAGTTATCAACGGCTCTTATTGGTCGATCAAGAATAATTTGATCAATCCATCAATATTTCAAAAGCTACTTGATGGATTGGAAAGGTTACTTGTCCAAGGCCTTTTATCTATTGTCAACTTTGTAATAGCTGTTCCTCTAGTAGAAATTAAAATTAAGTCAATAATTAATTTTAATAATACATTTCATAAAATTTACAACTCTGCAACTATATATTTCATTAACTTTTATTAGATTCTATTAAAAATTTGATTTTAATCCCAAACAAACAGGAACTTGATATGCAATATTTTGGTAACAATTTAAATTCAGTAATGTTATTTCTACATCCGGGTTGACACTTCGAATGACATTCATCTCACATAGTGGGATCCACGCAAAAAAAAAATAAAAATAAAAATGATTGTGCTATGGGTACGTAGCACAATACATAAGAGTGTCCACAACTGACACATGGAAGGTCCCTATTGGTCTGTGGGCCTAGACACCTCCCCAATAGAGGCCTTCCATGTGTCCATTATGTACACTGTTTATACATGTAGTTCTTTCTAACCCTAATCTTATTTCTAATGTTGCTCGTTAGCAATACTTTCGAATTACCCACATAGTATTAGTGCATATCGAGGATAATTTTGCAGATGAGCAAGTTAAGTATGCGAACAAGAGAATTGAGTTTGAAAAATGTTAGATGTACATCAAAAGATGTACATCACCTCACATGAAGGGACCCACTCGAATAAAATATTCAAGTGTACTTTGTAATAGCTGTTCCTCTAGTTGAAATTAAAATTAAGTCAATAATTAATTTTAATCATACATTTCATACAATTCACAACTCTGCAATTATATATTTCATTAACTTTTATTAGATTCTATTAAAAATTTGATTTTAATCCCCAACAAACAGGAACTTGATATGCAATATTTTGGTAACAATTTAAATTCAATAATGTTATTTCTACATCCGGGTTGACACTTCGAATGACATCCATCTCACATAGAGGGATCCACGCAAAAAAAATAAAAATAAAAATGATTGTGCTATGGGTACATAGTACAATACATAAGAGTGTCCATAACTGACACATGGAAGGTCCCTATTGGTCTGCGGGCCCAGACACCTCCCCAATAGAGGCCTTCCATGTGTCCATTTTGGACACTGTTAGTACATGTAGTTCTTTCTAACCCTAATCTAATTTCTAATGTTGCTCGTTAGCAATACTTTCGAATTACCCATATAGTATTAGTGCATATCGAGGATAATTTTGCAGATGAGCAAGTTAAGTATACGAACAAGAGAATTGAGTTTAGTGAGCCCCCTTTTTTGGTAAAATAAAAAATAAAATGTGAATATCTTGTGATCAAGAAAAGTTGAGGTAGAATCAAAGAAAGTAGCGTAATAAAGTTTTGCTCCAAAGCCTTCAACAAGAAGTTTCTAAGAGATGGATCCACAAATCTTCTGACTTGTGTCCTTCACTGTATTATTGTCCATTACCTGTTTCTCATGCCTCCCACTTCATGCATACCATCCCCGTAACACCCCCCTACTCCCACCCCACCCCACCCCGTCTACACCACATTTGTGCATGAACTTTTCATTGTACATAAATATTAAGATCATTCATTTAAAACACAACTTCGGATCTCGAATCACTCAAGTTCCGACACTCAAAACACGGAATGAGTAAGCCCACCCGGTATATTTCTCTCTCTTACTCCCTCGGCGTATGAGTTTCGTAATTTAAGTAGATGATCCTAACCTATGTGCATATAGAAAAATCTCATTTTTCTCCGCCTTACACCCAACCTACCTCACCCTGCCTCCGCCTTTGTGTATGCACTTTTCATTACACTCCATCCATGCCATTCCCATAACCCCCCACCCCACCCCACTACACCTTTGTACACGCAAAGATAAAAAGGTGGCAATCATCAACCCTCAAAGTCCCCCTTTCAATTTTCAACTCAAAGCCATTGAAGATCAAGAAAGGATTTGCACTGGAAGAGAGACATGAAAGTACCCTTCTCTGCACATAATCAAAGCAACCAAACTGTGAGCTCAAAGCCAGTGAATTGCACCATCAATACCACCCCAAACACCACTTTACAAGACATCACCACGCCCACCAGCTTCCCCTACGAGCCTAAATCGGTTCTTGAACTCCGGGGTAGTCCGAGTCCTGTTGCTGATAAAAAACCTGCATCTGATACTGATAATTCAACAGTTTTGGACGATCATTTCCAGCTGGAAGATCATGTGCTGAGCCACCAGTTTGATGATTTGGATTCTTTCATGAGAGAGTTTGGTTTGAACGACGATTCCAGCCCAGTTTCAAAACCCATTTATCAACACAGTATTAGCAGTGAGCCTCAAACTCTAACTCAATATTCGTCTCTCCAAGAATTTCCACCTAATAGCTCGTTCGATTCAACTCAGTTTGTGCCATCAGATTTTGGTCTTTTCTCTGATATTTCCACATACAATACTGCACCTTTGGGCCATAATACTAACGTCGTCAACACATTTGATGTCTCTACTGATATTCAATCCTTCAATGATAACAACTGGAACGTGGGATTCAATTATGTGGACGACTTAATCCAACTAGCAGAGTGCTTCGATACCAACTCGCTCCAACTAGGGCACGTGATATTAGCACGGCTGAATCAACCTTTGAGGTCTCCAATAGGAAAGCCTCCTCAGAGAGCTGCCTTCTACTTCAAGGAAGCCCTTCAATCCCTATTCACAGGGTTCACTCAGCCCACTCACCCTGCCAGTACTTCAGAAATTATCCAGACAATCAAAGCACAGAAGACCTTCTCAAGCGTCTCTCCAATTCCCATGTTCTCCAGCTTCACGGCTAATCAAGCCTTGCTCGAAGCCACAGATGGCTGCACTCATGTCCAAGTCATCGACTTTGACATCGGGCTTGGAGACCAATGGGCTTCCTTCATGAAAGAACTAGCCAGTAAAGCAGATTCTCGTAAAACACCACCACCCGTGCTCCGAATAACAGCTATAGTTCCTGAAGAGTATGCAACTGAATCAAAGTTGATCGCAGAGAATTTAACTCAGTTTGCACATGAACTGAATATAAAATTTGATATAGACTTTGTTTCAATACGGAGCTTTGGATATTTATCTTTCAAAGCAATCAAGTTCATGGATGTAGAAAAAATTGCAGTTCTTTTATCTCCAGCCATATTCCAACAAATAGGGACAGGGTTTCTGAATGATCTCCGCCATGTTCCGCCGCATGTGGTGGTGCATGTGCATAGTGAAGGGCAGATGGGGTTTGGAACCTCGTCCTATCGTCAAACTGTGTTTGGCGGGCTGGAGTATTACACCGACCTCTTAGAGTCACTGGAGGCAGCAAATGTAAACGGTGATGGCAGTGATTGGATGAGGAGGATTGAGACTTTTGTGCTGTTTCCCAAGATTCTCAAGGCAGTGGAGGCTGCTGGCCACCAGGGGCCGCCATGGAGGCAGGCTCTGGTGGCAGTGGGGTTGAGGCAGGTGGGGCCGAGTCAATTTTCATACCTTCAAGCTGAGTGCTTACTAAGGAGGATGCAAGCAAGAGGATTCCACGTGGCAAAGCATCAAGAGGAGATGCTGCTTTACTGGCATGACAAGCCACTCTTTGCAACGTCAGCTTGGAAGTTTTAAGTGGCAGCATCTTCTTAATGAAGATCAATTAAACTCTTATGTGTGTAATCCGTAATTTATATTTCTGTTTTTTGCTGGGAAAATAAGGGATTAGTGTTTCATTTTTCTTATAATTGCATTCATACCTTAAACATGGTGACAACTGATACAAAATCAAGTAATGTTGGTATGTAAAGGGAAAAAAGGGGAAAAACATAAGAAAAAGAAATCTTTTTCCTTCGGTTTTTCTTCTTGGATTGTGTAAAAGCCATTTTTCTCTGACAATGAAGTATTCTAGTATACTTATTCATAGCATTAGAAGGGCCGAAGGGGGTTCAATTAAATCATTGAAAATAGTAAATGAAAATTTCATGTTCCATGAGATGAGCCCGCAGTGAAATTCCCATATGTTTGGTGTGCTCAACTGGATAAGATTATAAAATTGAAATCACATCGTGCAATCTTGTCAAGCAGCATTAGGGGCATGTCCTTTGTGTTTCATATGGATTTCTGCTAAAGAAATGACGACTCTCCTCGATCATCCCAGTAACTAAAAGTTTGCTAAGGATGGATGCAGTAATTTTTGTTTATGTATTTCGTCGGTTTTGGGCTACTTTTACTTTCAATCGGATTCACCGCCTACATGCCCTTTATGCCCAGTCATTCTGAAGAACATTTGCCCCCCAACCCCAAACAGTTTGATTTCAGATAGCCAATATTCTGGAGAAATTTTTTTTAAAAAAGCATAAAGTAAGTATTTGAGTGCATGCAAGTGATAGTCTAGGTAAAAACACAAAAATCGAACACGATTAAAGAAAATAACCAAAGAGTGTGTGTATTTGAGGGAAATAGAAGAGCAAGAGCAAAAGCATGGGTTTAAGATTCCTCTAATTATGTGAAACATGGTAAGAACATTATGAACAACATTGGAATTAGACTAAAAAGGGTTATCTTAGGATACAATAACAGGCATGACAAACATTTTTAATTGAACAGAGACACGAATTTCTCAGAAACACGTCGAATTATTGTCCAATAGAAAACAATATAATCTACTCTCCAACGTTCTATTTCAATAGTTACCTTTATAGGCTTATTCTCTGATTTGAGCTCTCTGATTTAATAGGAAAGCCTCTGAAGCTCGACTCTGAGTGTGCAAATCATTTCTCGATTTACTACCGAATGATGTACATCGGAATTACAGTTTGTACCACTGCAGCCTTTCCGATTTCTAAATATTTAAGCCTTTAGACGAGCTAGTATGCAAACAAATTGAATCCTTCTCATTTATGAGAATGAATGTGCACTAGTCACCAGTCAGGCGTCTGATACAAGTACTATATGCATGCCAGTAGAACTTCTAAAAACTAAATTTAAATAAATAAATGTATGCTAAAGGAAATGACTTTAGTTTTCTACAATTTCTAAAAACTATTTAGCTTTTCTCGGCCACAGTCTTTGGACCTTCAACATCTTTTCCGTACTCTGATAATTTAACTCAAAGTTGATATAATTTATCTTTCTCAACCTCTCTGCATGCCTCCCCACCACCCCATAAAAAGGAAAAAGGTCCACCACTATTAACACCTTTTAGATTATCGGTCATAGGTTGCTCGCGTGGGTTGATCTTACCCACAACTTATACGAACGGATTGGAGGGAGTAATCTGAATTGGAATTCAAACTATAATCTTCCCTTAACATACTATAACCGTCCCCACCATTCTCGTAAGTGCAAAATGGCCGAAAATAAGCAATTTCGTGCATGAAAATGCATTATCAAAAAGGGCCTAAGCAACCATTTTGTATAGAAATCATGTTAAAATTGGGTACTTGGATTTTGAGAAATGAATTTCAAAGATTTGGAGCATAGAGATGTTGATGCAGGGGGATCCGAGCCAGACGAGGCCGAACTGTCTGATAGTTCGTTAATGGCGCTGAGATACCATGAGTTGGCGGATCAGCGCAAGAATGACAAGTAATCTTCGATCTTTCCTAATTGGGGCCGCCTTTGGACACGTTTCGGTATTTTGGTCATAACTTTGATTACGGTTGTCAGAATCACGTCCATGACCCCAATTCGGAAAGCTCTTTCCGGCGCGCACGAGTCGTGGGCACCTAACTATGCTCGGTGTGCATCGGTTTCGAGGTCAAATTCAGCTGTTTTCCCGTCCGAATCATCAATTTAAGTTATTTTTTGTTATTTTTAGTAATATTTCGATTTCCTTTTTGACATAGATTACGATATCAAATTTAGTCAGATTTTTGAGATTTTCTTCCTTTCATTACGTATTTCGTTTTGGTATGAATAATAGAATTTTGCTATTTTTGGCAAAATTTCAATAATTAATATTTTCTAACTATTTAACCCGGCTTGTGGGTTATTTTCGTTTAGTTGTTGAATAATAAAAAAATTTTTCGTTTCTCTTGATGTTTCTCTTAAGTTCTTCTCTGTATTTGTCAATTGGTTCCAACCTGCAAAATAATCACTATCCTGCCCGACGTCAAATGTTCAAGTGGATTTCAAGTACGATATTCTTGAACACAATTGAAATGATTTAAATTCTTTCAACACCAAAATCAATATATAAATACTACTCAAGTCCATCTTCTGTTACTAAAAAGATAACTATTTTTATAAAGACCACTTATGACTATATCTTGAGATTTCTTGAATCCCAGCAACATTTCACAGAAAAATAGAAAAGAAATGCAATTGGGCTTGAAGAAAATGGACGACCTTGTTTATGATCAAAGCCATCGATTAGGAATAACAGCACAAAATATTCATCTTATTTAGAATACAACGCAAAAACTTACGGACGGTTCTTTTCATGTTTCAATTTTTTGTTTTGAGTTTTGAATTCATTTTGAATTTTGTATTTTGAGTGTCTATTTTGAGATTGATGAAAACACGTTCTTTTGTCATTCTGAAAAATTATTTTCAAAAATTTTAAAAAAAGGGAGTTTTGACTTGGTTTTAACTAAAAATAGCCAAAATGACTTTTTGGCGTTTTCCGTTTTCTTTGTAAATTTTAAATTCGTTTTTGGAAATTCGTTTCCGAAAATAGATAAGTAAACGTGTTTTCGGTGTTTTCGAAAACTGGAAATAATCTTGAAAACGGCAAAGAGAACATGCACTTATTATCTTGCTGATATACAAAAACAAAAAAGACATTTTCCAAGATCATCAAGTAAGCATTGATTCATAATACAAGAATTTCATGATATTGTTCAAAAAGGGCACCAAATTATCATCCAATCAGCGAGCAAAACCCTACTACGGAATTTCAAAAGAGTGGGTATGATTGTACCTTCATAGTAGCGATCTAACGTTTCCCTCGAATTGATAACCAACAACGCCCAATTTTTTGGAAGCAATTTATATAGGTTACTGGGATGGATCTTAAATCACCAGGTGTGGATTAAACGGGACTTTGATTGCCGGAATTTGATTATAGAAATTGTAGAATTGTGTTCTGTCAGAAATGCAAAACTTTGATTAACCTTTTAATTAAATGCATTCTGTAACAGGGATTGTCGCTTAAAAAAAAAAAAAAAAGAAAGGAATTCACAACTAGCCTTCAAATTCAATGATCTTGAAAATCCCATCTTCATATAATTTTCAACAAAGGCCTCAAGAACATATCTCTAAATTTCCAATGTAGAAAAGAAAACAGCCCCAACCAAAATGCCCATATTCAAGAAATCTCAACAATCAAAGCTTCCTTTCCCTTAAAATCAACTCTCGAAATCTGGGATTTTTCGGAGAGTTTATGGTGATTTGGGGGCGATGGTGGTGTGGAGTGATGTGACAGTGTGTGGTGGGATTAGCTATGCTAATGAGCAGAGCCGAGTCGAGTCGAGCCCAAACCGAAAAAAAAAAGCTCGGGCTCGGCTTGAGCTTTTTTCGGGCCCGTGCCCGAGCCGAGCCCCGGCAAAAAAAAGGGAAAAATCATATCTAAGGTGTATTCTTTACTACAATTCAAAAGTAAGGTAAATAGTTTGAAAATTCAAAAATCAGGTATGAATTTAATTAATTAAAAATATTTATTAAATAAAGATAATAAAGTCACAGTTTGTGATTAATGGTCACATATTTATTTACTGGTCACATATCGTCAAATTTTTTTATCCCAGATTATTTCAAGGTCACATATTAGATTATTTCGAGGTCACGATTATTTTGAGGTCACAGATTTTTAAATTAGTTGGTCACAAATTATTTTTGAGTCACGTATTATTAACTTTTTAAGTCACAGTTGAGTAATTGGTCACAGATATTACCAAACATTTGGTCAAGATTACCAAACATTTGATCACATACTACCGCCGTTTGGTTACAGGTCACAGATCGACCAACACAAACTAACAAGCCACATGACGAAAACTGAACCCCAACAAC